CCATTTCTCTTCATCCATTTATAGTGCGCAGTTTAGTTTAAACTTGGCTGTGGTTCAATCGTGACATCAGCTGCTTTAGGCGTGAGAAAAAATTGTTGTATAAGCTGAGGCAACTGGCTCTCAGACTTTTTCTTTTACTGTTTAGTTTAGCAGAGGCACAAATGTGCGGGTCTCCCTGCCAGACTGTCTCTGTATCTCCTGATACTCTGATTAACACTGACTATGTGAGAAATGACACATTTCCGCTGCATAGCTGCATTTCACAGAGCCATGGTCATGAAGCGCTTAGGAGTGGAAGACTGAAACATCAGGGGGATTAATGTTGGAAGGAACTGGATTTTTTTGGAGGGGTCCTAAGTTCCTATCACTGTTGGAGAGTGTAGAGCCTATATTTTATGAGTCTCACATACTGCAGGCTGGGACTGATTTGTGGTTAGAAAGTGGGTCAGCACAAGCTGGAAGAACCACTGACTGTGTCCATTGTTTGAGCCAAAATGAGAATAACCTTCATTAAAATCATGTGCAGGATAAAAGAGCCTTGCAGGACTTGCAAAAACCTGTATGTCCTGTATGTGCACTTGGAAGTATATAAAGAACAATGATGTACGCGTTCTTCAGCCTGCAGCTCTGAGCTTAGTGTACAGGATTCTCAGTCACAAAGACATCATGAGACTGAGCTACTGCAGTTTTTAATCAGCATGGCACTGTGCTGGTCGACTTCCAGGAGCCGCATTGTGGCTTGTCCTCTTACACTCCACATGTAAACAGGGCCAAGGCAAATGAAAGTAATTGTCTGAGAGTTGTGGCCTCCTCCTTTGTAACAGGTTAATTAATTAGTCCATTTGCTTTTAGCCATGCAATATGCTGAGCTGATGGTCTTTCAAATGGCAGGGAGGCAGAGACTTTGTGAAACAACTTTTAACTAAACATCAGTTTCTCCAGTGCCTTCAGAGGTTGTTTACAACATGCCAACACAGAGCAGCTAGGACCATGAAATACTGTGTATAGTCAGTAAACATTTAGCAGGATTATGAAACAAGTTTAAGGTTCTGGCTTTCTGGTAAATGTGATATCACCCTTCTCTATTGGCAGATATAACATGCTAGCATCTTGGCTCTGTTGATCACTATATCCCAGTTTCCACCAGAGGAACTTTTAGGGAACAGGAACCTTTTTTCAGAACATAGATTCCTTACCTGCATTTCCATTGGAAGAACCAGGGTCTACATTTAGTTCCACAGTGTAGTTCTACTCCCCCCAAAATGTACTTAGTATCTAGTCAGGGGGTAGTATTTTTTGAAGGTCCCAGAACTATCAGGGTGAGATCTACAGTGCTGAACACTGCTGATTGGTCACATGGGCTCTAGGGTGTGAGCATTTCACTCTCGTATGCGAGTAAAAAGTAGGCTTACATGAAGACACCAGTGAGTGAGATTAGTGGATTAGAAAATATGGTTTTGGTGTTTATGGAATGGATTCTCCTGGTGTTTCACCTGAGGGCAGAGCTCAGCTCCTCCATGGAGCACAGCAGTCAGAGGTCGCAGAGGTGAGCATGACATTAGGTGAACTGAAACATTACTCAGAGTTAACAATCCCTAAATGCTCCTTATTGTACAGTCCAATAAAACCTCGGCAAGTAAAAGCAAATGCCTGTTAAATGAGCATAAGCTTGCAGAAAAGTGATATTTCAGCTTTGCCTGAGGTCTGTCCTCCACCGCTGGTATGTGTTAACTATAGCAAGCATTTACACGCAACATTCTTTACAACCAAGCTACTGACCATTGTGCTTTTATGTCAGTGGGCTAATTTGTTTAATCTTCTTCGAGCCTCAGCCCTGCTGTTGAAATGCACTCAAGAGACTTCTACCCCACGGACAGTTCTTTGAATTCAGTTCCTAGGATTAAAATGCAACCAGTTCTTTCTGGTGGAAATGCACCTGTTAGGTATTTTTAGTCAGATAGAAATTGGATAGATACTTTATGTATTAGAAATGTTTAGTGGAGATAGGATGTCTAGTTAGACTGTTAAATGCTTAGTCATGCTTATGAGTTTCTACAGGGTACATCTGGTCAAGGATAACTAGAGAGAAGAGTTGATGACTGTCAGCAGACAGGATGTTTAATATTATTATTATGATGTGTATAACTGTAGCCTTAGCCATAATATGTTCTTATGTTTAAGTCACGACATGTTACTAGAGGTCGTGAGAATGTTTTTAGTTACACACCACTTAACCAACAGACATACACATTCACACATTGATTTGCTTCATGTTTTGACTACTGCTATGACCAGCTGCAAAGCTGGTAACAGAGACGTCTTGGTTGACGTTTCTGTGTAGTATGGGGCTAGCCCAACCGAGGGGATATAATGTATAGGCCTGGTGGGTTCAGGGTCTTTCATCTTACATCTGCCTGCGAGCATTTGGAGGTGCAAGATATCTGAGCGTGTAATGTTAATTTTACCTGTGATCCTTTGAATAAATCAGCACTGTTTTGAAGTTACTTGGACTGTCTCGTCTCTCAGAGTTAGCATGGTAGCAAGAACCATATCTTGCACACCTAATTGCTGGTCTGTCAGTCAGTCCACTACTCAGTCCAGACGAAGGTACTTCAACAATGACTGGATAGATTAATACCTTTAAATTAGATAATAACTGTAATAACATTCCTACTCCATTCAAGCATGTACTAGGTATAAGCAAATTGATATTGGATTAGCATTTGTTAGATATGTGTAAAATTATGTGTGTTGACATATCAACTGTCTTTACATGCTTGAAAGAATAAATCAAATCAAATCAAATCAAAACATTGGTCATCACCTATTTTATCATGGAGCACCATCATCATGTTAAACTGTGTCCATTACTGTGGTTTATGACCCGCAAAACATTCTCATCAGCCTTGGCTGTACTTTGTATTTAGTGGTAATTAGTTAATGTTATTATGCTAACACACTAAACCAAGATGGTGAACATGGTAAACACCATTACTGCTAAATATTAGCATTAGCTAAACATTAGTTAGTGATGTCATTGTGAGCATGTTAGCATGCTGACATTAGCATTAACCACTGTTATACATAAGTACACAGCCTCACTGAGCTGCTAGCATGGCATGGTAAGGTCTTCTTGATTTTTAATGTAATTTCATTTTTTTCACAAAAAGCACAGCTCTGAGTCATAAACTGTTTAACTGCACATGAAATATGCAGTTACTCTCACTGAAGTTGAGATCTAAAGGGAAGTTGGAAGCAGACATGTACTTGACTCCAATGTATTATCATCAGACATGAGATTAAAAGCGCAATCTGCATAAATATCAGGTGTTTGTAAACAGAATCCAAGCCCTACTAATGTCTTTATGTACACCCATTCATCAGTACAACATGGGAGCCAATGAGAAATGAGTATTAGGTTACTGAGAATATATGATTTGACTCTCTATCCATGTTTCTGAGGGACTGTCTGAATGTCGAAAACAAAACGAGCTCAGTCATTTCACCAAACTGCATTTTCCTGCAAAATCTCATCAAAAGCCTATTAGGAACCTGGCCCATATGGTAAACAGTCTGCACTGCAACAGCTCTGCTTGTAATCATATGGGTACAAATGTTTTTCTCTGTCAGAGCAGGACATTTTTAAAGACATTACATTAGAAAGTGTGTGTACATGCCATGTGTCCTGAGTGCCATCATTCCTATTGGTAATAACTTTGTATAATATTGCTAAAAAGAACTCAGAAAGGGCAAGAAATGCATACATTCAGAAGATCATACAGATTTAAAGCAAACTTCGGGTTGAAATAAAGGTGAACAGTTAATTATCACCCAAACTGTCTATTCTAAACATCCATCAGAGTGCACAGAGCAACATCCCGGTTCCACTTTGACCTATACTTACCAAAGTTGTTTGCAAAAAGAAGAAGAAGTAGACTATCTTTTAAATGTGATTAAAACATTTATTGCCAAATCAAGACTGAATCATGTGTGGGTCCTGAAGACGGCTCAGGGTCTGAGAAGACCTCTGTTCAAGTATCATTCTTCTCGCTAACAGCAGGATTCAGCATGTTGAGGTAGTACAGCAAAGGTAACTGAGAAAATTACAGCATCCCAAACCACAACCCTGTGTATTTTTCTTGGGGGTCTCTGGTTGTTAGAGGAGGAGTGGATAAAGGTCCACTGTTGATCCTTAGCTCTCCCAGATTGTTTAAACAGGAGAGAAGGATTGTAATTGTCTGAGACAGGCCTGCAGCACTCAGAGGCTCACACACAAAGGCAAACACATTCAGACACACTGTACAGCTAGAAGACTGCGTGTATGTGTTTAGTGGGGCCTATAGGTAGCCACCAGCATTTCCACAAGTTGACAGCTACAAGTGCAACCACCAGGAACTAGGAAGTACACACAGATCTGTGGGTTGATACATCTACCAACATATGTTGACTACGAGCCTACATGCAAGTATCTCTGCACTCAGCTCCTAAAGGTTGTTTCTATGGTGAAGGCAGGAGCAAAGCAGGGAGGCTTCGGCCTTGACAACAGCTGTGACTTATTGTGAATGACGGACATTCTTCCTGTCTGTCACAACAGCCCCCATCACCCTCAGAAAGTGTGTTCTGGTCACCATGTAGTAAGATTTGTGACTAATAGTTGTTGATTAAAAAAAAATGTTTTAGCAATGCAGATGTGGCATAAAATAAAAAGTCAGATGCTTCCTGTTGTTTTGTGTTTAAAAAGTTTTTGATAACACCTTGAACACAGGTTCCCAGTGGAGTTTCTCTCAAATATAAAAGAGAAAAGTGATTTACAGCACAAAGTGTCTTCACATCTTCACTTGTCTCACGCTGATCCTTGCAGGTGCTGCATCACTTCAGAAATGAATGCCCAACCTTGAGCCAAGGGGTAAAACTAACTGGTAGATAATCCTATGCACCTCCACACACGAGAGGGCAACTTGTGTGCACAGAGAACCCACAAGCACACTCACACAGCTCACCTGGTTGATGTGTTTGAGTTTGTCTATGATCTGGCTGATGATCGGCTCGGGAGGCTTGTTGCTTCGGGACTCTGAGCCTGGGTGCAGTCTCTTCGGGCCAGGCCCAGGAAACCTCACAGGGTGGGAAAGAGACAAGTGGAGTCAGTTTCTATATCATGCTGAGTTAGAATCGTCAGAGAGTGAAAGTGGAATGAACTGACCTAAGCTCTATCAGTCTAAGCAAGACACTTATCACCATCTAGTGTTGATAAAATAAATAACCATTCGTCTGGTTTTTAGTTTATCCTGTGGGGCTGGAAAGATCATTTGTAAACCAACCCTTTGTAGCTAACCTTTCCCTCTCTAAAGACATTATGTTAAAGTTAAGTTAAACAAGGATTACCATTTTTTTAAAAACATTGAATGGTTTAATATTTTTCATAAGGTCACATTCTTCTGTGCAGAAAGAAAATAGTTATTGCACAAAATGTTTAAGTGTCAGCCTAAATCATGACATAACACTGTTGCAGAATTTATATATATCAAATTCAACATGCTGACATCTGTTTTCAATCAACACAGAGAAGCTGTTAAAAGTTTTACAATTTTGAGTGTTACCATAAGGCGACAACGTCCTTAAAGGAGTTATTACCTAAAGTCTTCATGCACATGAAACAGGCTTTTTAATCATATTTAGTGGTAATGAGAGGACTTAGCAGAGACCTATTTTTGTCCTGCTTTGGTGGAGATGTTATATTTAGTTATAATCAGCCTACAGACATGTGTTTTACAACTGAGGAAGCATCGCTCTGATGACCCCTCTGTATGCTATCAAGGCGAGGAGCTGGTGAGCCTGAAATTTAAATTTCACATCAAGACTTTCCTGCAGGTGTGTTTTCATTTGTGGCAGTGCCAGGAACTAACCCCTTCCTATCAGACTACTACAGCTCTGAGATGGAGACCAACTACCGCCACACACGAGACAAGTGTGTTTGGATGAAGTCGAGTCAGGATTGATAACAGATCGCCCCAAGGCACTGTGCACTGATATGAGTGGTGGTGAGTGCAGAGGTAACATCGCTGCGCAAATGTCATCTGCTATATTGGTGCAAATGTTGGAAAGATGGAGGACAAACAGGCTGGAGTCAGGGAAAAACGATTTTCTGAGAAAAGGTTAGTAAAGGAGAGAATAAAAAATATGTGAGCGTGCAAAGCATGAGCTCATACTCTATTCTCATCTCTGTGCCACACACACACACCCCTGACACACAAGCACACTGACACACCTTTCACCTGCCATCTCCATTCATCAGTTTTCACTCTCCTTTTCATTAAACTCAAATTACATTTCCTCAGTTATTTATTCTTCTTATTAGCCATGATCTCACGCCGTCTGTATTGCTAATTATGACATTAATAATGGAAAGAGATGTGTGATCGATTAAGGAGAGGGAAAAAGGAAATATGGGTCCAGGGAGTAGGACTAGAGGAGGGACATTTGAAGTGGGAATGAGGTACTGAGGCAGGTTAGTGTTTCACATGAGTTTTTCACTGTTGATAGTCTCAGTTGCAGCTTGTTATCTGATCCTTTGTGTTACTGTTCACTGCAGCCAGAGCTGATCAGATCAGTTAACACCAGTGACATCTTAATCTAATCTAACATCAATTAGCATGCTATTAGGTGCAGTCTGAGTGAAAGAATACGCAACGAAAGTAGAAGAGACACAGGGGTCCAGGTGTTGAGAGAATACAGAATGGAGTCTGATGCTTTTCACACCACCTGATGGATCACACTTCTAGTTCCAAGCATATAGGCAGGGTCAGAGGCCAGACGGGGTGCAAACAGTGTGGTGGTTACTGTTCATACATCCTCTACTTGCATTTAGAGAATCAAATTTCAAAGATATCACACAAAGAGCTGTAAGAGACTACATGAAAATTACTGTGAAAAACAAACAAACAAACAATAAAAACTTCCTCAGGGCAATATTTTCAATTTATATAGTTATTTTTATACCTCAGTAGAATTTCTAATGTGTGCGACCAGTGTAGAAGCGTGAAATCTTTTTTCTTCTTATTTTTTTATATAGTTTTATGAATGGGGTGATGTTGGTGGTCTGTCCACACTTTGGTGCTGAGTGAAATATCTCAACCACTATTGGAGGGACTGCCATAAAATCTGATACATCATGTCTAAGGTGCCCAGATGATAAATAACTTTGGTGATCAACCTCTGCCTCATACTGAGTACCACCATGAGGACGAGGTTTGTGTTTCTTAGTGAAATGGCTCAACAATCCTTGGTTAGATTTCCATAAAATTTATTAAAAGACAAATTATGATCCTTTGAGAATGGGCTATAATCAATTTGATGATTCCATAACGTTTCCTCTAATGGCACCATGAAGTCAAAATTATGTTATTGAATGCTTTTATGACCACGTACCTGCCAAACTAATCTCCATCGGGCTCAGCTGAACTTCGTGTTTTGTTCTGACTAGAAACATTTAGCATGCTAACAAGCTAAACTAAGACAGTTGACATAGCAAACATTGTACGTGCTGTACATCACTATGTTAGCACTGTCTATGCAGTTATGTTATCATGATGATGTTGGCATTAACATGAAGCAAAGTGAAACCTTACAGAACACAGCTAGCATGGCTGTGAACTGTTACATGCTAGTTAGCTAGACGCCTGCAGAACTGCTTGTCAGACCCCTTATTGTGTCAGTTTGTTTTGAGCCTCAATAGACCCTCTAGCAGCTGATAAAAATTAAGTAGAGCAGCTTCAACATCTGGCCAGGGGGGCAACAGTTCAAAATCAACCTTTTGGCTGGTGCATTTACAGTGAAGTTGATCAAGTTATCCCTGTGTAAATAAATATACAGTAAGACTCTGATTCAATGACAGAAATATCATCACTTGCATATGGCGGTTTATGAGCCATAAAACAAGTGAAAGTTGTTTTTTTTGTTGTAGCTTTATGTAACCATTAAATATTTTGCAAAGTGAATCCCCTGCATGGCTACCTTACCTTCATCCAGAAGAAAAGTAACAAACCCATTCCAATTCATTTTCATACAGTCACTGAATTAAATGTTCACAGTCGACACAACATCTTATCTTTTATCAGTCACCACAAGTTTACACTTTGATTGGATCCCAAAGATGAATGGAAATGTAATGTTTGGTGCTGACATGGCATCACATCTATTATCACAGTTATCAGTGTAACACTCTTTGATGTGGTGAAAAGTGTTGCTCCTCTGATCCTGCCTCCAGGTGGGATGGTAAATGCGCCTGACAGAAAGCATCGCATTTACCTGCAAAGATCACTCCACAAGTATCTGAGACATTCAGTACTCGATCCTCCAACACCTACCCCTCCCCACAACTCATCCAATTCAAATTTGCACGAGACAATAGGAGAATGAATTCCATGTTCTATCTGGGGTGATAATGGAAGATGATCCAGAAAAAAATCTCAGTGTTAAAATGTACCTGAAGTGAATTTGCAGGCATATGCCCTCACAGATGAAAAGGAGAATTGCTTGCCGCATGACAATGTAATCTCCCCATCATTTCGTTTCCTTTCGCGTCTCCCTGCATCTTAATATCGCACAGTTTGGTCCAGCTTGTAATCATCCCCTAAGGACATTTCTGCTCCCTTGCCAACCTCATGTCTCCTCCTCACATTGCTACTCTTTCTATCTTTGTGACAGACTCTTTCTCAGCAATCCGAGAAAGCACAGAATTTATTTTCAGTCCTTCTTGGGAACAAGAGGTAAAACATTAACCTCCAGCACTTCACGTCTCAAATTTCTGCCTCTGCATTGATTAAACTCTACACATAATTTACAAGGGAAAAAAGGATGATATCTATAACAATCTAAGCCAAATTGAAAATGGGACCGGCTGACAGCGCGGGCAGGAAGAAAGAAGTTATGATGTGTGGAGCCAAAGGACAGGGGTGAAGTGAAATATTGTGAAAACCAAATGAGGTTCTGCAGGGTGCACAGGAGATGTTGGATGAAGGAGAAGCGAACGATCGAACAGCAATTAACTAAGCGAGAAGAAGGTGACAGCACGCCTGACATTAATAACATCCCATAGAGCCAAAGTCAAGATTTACACTCAGACTCAGTGGGAGAGGGGGGCCTTGTGTGAGGCTCAGCTATACCCTTCATCTCACCTACACTCCTTTATGTGATGCTGGAGCTTTGGGAATTCAAGAATTTGATTTGGATTATTTGTATGACCAGTCGCTTAGAAAACCAATCAACCTGAGCAGCAGCATCCTGTGTCGGAAGGTGGATTTGTCTACGGGTGCGTGCAGGACCTGCGGTGCAATTTATAGCAGTGAATCCAAGTAAATGAGACACAGATTTACCTGTCTGTCATTTCTTGTCCATTCCAGCAGAGGGAGTGGTTTGCTGGAGGAGGTTCACGGCTGCATAATGCCTCCCCAAGACCACTGTAGAAGGAGCTGAAGCCCCTCAGGCTAGATATGAACTCCCTGAAGCACGTGAAGAGACAAAATGTTTAACAAAGATGGGGGCAAAGAAAAGAGTTTTGAGAGGACTCACGTTTATAGAAAGAGCAGAAATTGTCCCGCAGAAAGAGGAGAAAAACAAAAGAAAGGCAGAGAAAAAATAGGAGACAGTGAAAGAAAGTTGATGAGATCCCACTTGAGAAAGAGAGAAGACTGGACTAAGGAGTGTCTCTCTTATTAACTGACATTAATCTGACCACTGAACTGCACAGGCCAGCGTCCCTGGTGGGCATATTACACTTCATTTAAGTCTATTAATGCATCAAGGGTGTTTGTCTGTAGGAAAAATGTTTCCCCTGTAATGTTGTGGCGAGTGAGTGCTGCTTTATCAGCTAGAAGGGTCTCAGCCTGGAGATTACACTCCTTGATGTCCTCACCTGCGGAGTCCAGCCAAAGTCTCATCAGAGTCTGAGGATGGGGGCTGCGAGTTACGGGCTACAGAAGCAGCAGGAGGCTGGACAGGAGGGGGTGCGACTGAACGAGAGGCCCGCTGAGGAGTGTGTCCACACATTCCAATCACCTGAAAAGGACAGAGGAGAAAATCAACCAGGACCAAGTGAATTCAGTTCCTCAAACCTCTACACCCCGCTTATGTTTCATTGCTCCCAGTTCCAGGCTGTATAAGCTTGTTTATTCAGACTTGTAATAGAAACGATACTGCAGACATAAGAACCTGCCAGCAGTCAAACTGCTGGCCTTGCTCAGCTGAGCCCCTCAGCAAATTGTCACCTGTTTGGGTTTGTGTATTTTTGGTAGGGACGAAAGCGGGGGGATTTGCATAAGGATCAAGTCATTGTATCCTCTGCCAGACTTGTTCGAATTTGTAATCATAACCCTCCAAAACTGTGAATGTGAGAACAAGGCCTCTCGTTTGCCTCCTGTTTCCCCATATAAATGCTATTGTGTTCCCACACGGGATGACATAACAATAATAAATAGGAAGTCCCTCTCTGTCTCTCAGAGATAATGGGCCTGGCACATTCTTTTCAGGTGCAATAAAAATGCAAATGAATGTTAATGTTTAGCTTGTGGTTTAATGATTTGCCGGTGGTTTAATTTCCCTCGGGAATACTGGCCGAGGCTTAGTTCTGCCATGTAATGTTAACAGCTAATTGTGCCCAGTTCGCCTTTAAGTGAATAGGCTGGCACCACTGCTGCTGAATACTGATGGGACCTGATAGAGTAGCACTGGACATCTTTATCTGGTGGAAGCTGAGGCCTCATCCACAAGCATATACACACACGCACACACACACACCACTTTTCAAGCATAAGCAAAAATGAATCCTTCCATGCAGTTATTCATTTGGACATAAGGCACTAAGGCCATTAACATAACAAACATGCACTCCAGCTTCATTTCACAGAAATGCTGATCAGCTGTAAAACAAAATCACCAGGGTTAATCAATACAGCCTTGTTATCCCAGGATACAGCGATAGCCATAGCACAGACGCTGTGATTCACACACTTGCTCTGCTTGTGATGCCCTGCCACATGTCCTCACACCATTGGCATTGAACCAAAATTGCCCACACAACCACAAAAAGACATGAACACACATACACACACTTCAGCCCATTGCCTCTGCTGCCTAGTTCTCTCCTGCCAGATCTTCTTTTCTAGCTCTCCTGTGCCTGGAGTGAGCGCCTGTGGTCCCACAGGCCATGATTAACGTGATTGGAGCTGCGTTCCTCTTTATGTTTGTGCATTCTCGAGAAGCCGTGGGGAAGTTGTGGTACAAGGGAGAGACCGATTCAGCATGTGGGTGCCTCCGCTGCCTTCCAGCCCACGCCACCTGCCGATTGTTTCTGGATTCTTAAAGGAAGGGGCTCTTTAGTGGGGTATTAATCTCACCCAGGGCTGGACTAACACATCCAAAAGGGGAGTCTGCAGATACACCCTGCCTCAACGTGAGAGCTCAGAAATATTTGCACACTTTTACCTGCACTGAGCAGCGCGTCTCACTGAGAGGGAGATGTGCTGACGGCCTGTAGGACAACACACACACACACATATGCTGTCCACATGCACACCTCCAGGTTCCATGTGGACACACACCTCTGCTTGTGCAAAGACAGTGTAACGATAAACTCCAAACTAATCAAAGGCACGGCACTCTACATACAGTGTATAACCAGGATTTTACATTCATCTTAAGCACAAGCAGGCATTAATAAGCAAACAGTTTAAGGAGGAAATATACTGACAGTGCTATAAAGGTGGCAGGGTGCCATGCACAGCTGTAACAACATACTGGAAAGTATTTGGTGTGTAATGTTTGTGTACCAGGGGAGCTGAGGCTCAGGGTAGAGACTGAGTCAGCACTTGGCCCTTCTCCTCCTTCTCCCTGCATTGTTGTCACCAGACATAAGAACTGACTTTACACACATTATAGCTCTCATATTTCAGCTTAAGGCCTTTCATATTCTGCCAGTGAAGTGAAAATGAGGTAAAGTCTGACTGCACGTCAAGAGTAAAGTTATACCAGACCGCTATCATAGTTAACTTGTGGGTAGTCTAGGCTGTGAGTTGGGACTGAAGGCTTTGATGCAGCAATATCTTTCAGTGTAATTTACAAGTTTAAAGTGTTTTAATGATGCTTAGTTGAGCAGGACCACTTTGAGATTTGAGATTTGAGTTAGTTGAGCAGGACCACTTTGAGATTTCAATCAAAATTGTGGAGTTTTGATCAAGTCAGTTCAGTCTAATGCCCCCAAAGAAGAGTGAAAGTACCCCTAATAGACATGAAATGGGTTCAGTGGGTGTGATTTTAAACATTCCAGTTTCATAAATACTGTTATTTTTTTGGGTGAGTTTTTAGTGACATTGGGCAAGATCAACATTTTAATAATTTAATGTATTCATTACTTTTAGACAACTATCTGAATTGTTTATCCATTACATTGTATTAATGAACTGTTATGGTTGAGTCCCCCTCACCAGGAGGGTGAGGGAGAACTGGGGTTGGACTCAAGATGGCTGACCCAGGTGCTAGTACAAAAAAGAGGTTTAATGGAATGAAAACAACAAAATGACAACATAACAGGGTCCATAATACATACAACCAGGGAAGGGCAGTGATGACTAAGGAGACCAGGATGGTAAACACACAAACTACCGACAGGAACTAGAATAGCAGAGCATGAGAACAGACAGGTGAACAAAAAGAACCAACGTACACAATGTAATCCACAGCACAGGGACTGTCAGCGTGGAAGACAAAGCACGTATTTCTGTGTTGCTAACCGCATAATAGCGTGATAAGGTCAAGCCAAAACGCACAGAGACTGTCAGCGTAGCATCTTACGCACGTCTAAAAATGCGGGTCAAACATAACATTTATCTTACTTTGGGTAAGTATTGTCCGTTACATGTCACAATACTCCAGCGACGACGGGGCGTCTGCCAGAGGTATAAATAAGGAAGCCAACAAATCACCGGAATACGCCTCAGGTGTGCGCACCGACCCACGAGTCACTAATTACCCGATGCGACACAGCTGAGGCGTTGATCCCGCAAAAAGGGAGCAGGAGAGGAAAAAAGAAAGAGAGGCAGGTCGCACCGAGCGGACCTGACATGAACTGTTTACCCTTTACTTTACGATTCCAACTATTAATCTAGTATGTTTGTCTGACATTGTCAAACACCAATCCATCACTTTAATTAAGCTAACAAGTGTTTATCCGTAGGTTTTAGATAATTAATTCAACATGTGGTGTTTAGTTGTTACAAATGACTTGGTTTTAGCTTAGCGATACTGTGCTGACACGGAGCAACATTTACACATTTATAACCCTATGTGAGTGTTTATTTTCCTGCCTAATGCAAATATATTAAACATCTCAGACTTTTTTTTTAATGAACAGACCTGCTCTACAGTCTTTTTTCTTACCACCTGGCAACTGCAGAGGTACCCTCAGGGATACAAACACCCCTGACTGGGAATCGCTGAGCTAGAGGTAAAACGTGACTCAATAACTAATAGATGTGGGGATGTACAATATAGTGTATGTAATTGTCCACAGTGGATATGGAGCACGGTGTCAGGTAAAGTTCAGGTTCTCTCAGTGTAATATCTAACTCTGGCTAATCAGTTCAGCTCGGTGTCCTGGTTCAGTAAATCCACTAGTTTACAAATCTCAGCATCACATTAATGAGATATGACAACAAAAAATTTAAATTTATGGTAAAACCTAAAACTGTCAGTGCAAAAACATAACGGTGACTAAATACCAAATTTAACTGAGGACATTAATCGTACTAAAATAGATGGTGTGTCTATCAGGGTCGAATTTGAAATGAGACATTGTTTGTGCATCAAAGTTAAACAGACACTTGTAAGACAAATTGATTTGACACTTCTCACTCACAGCGCTGTGATTGTTGAAGCATTCAGAGCTGTGAAAAGTTATTAAACACATTTCACAGACACTGATATGATTTTACAGACTGTTCAGATGCAAAGAAGACCGAGGAGCTGAGCCTAAAGGAACATGACGTTTTCTTCAAAGACAGATAGAAAACTGGTATAAGCAATGTGAACGTTTCAAATAAAAAGGTGCTATCAATCGCTATATAGTAGACAAGTGATAATCAGTCAGTAAACAAGACTAGAATCTCAGCCAACCTTGTTATATTTGAGTTTAGACAGAATGTGCTATGGCTGTGAAGTTCACAGTTTTCAGAAACATGCTAGTCAGGCTGGGGTAGTATTCAATAACCACAGGATTTGAACTGGTTATCATGTCTCCCCTGGTACACAGGTGAAGTGAAGAACACTGATTATGTCATGATGACATCACATGTCAAGGTTTGGGATATTTTAGTGAACAGCTGGTTTTTGTAGTTGACTTGTTAGAAGTGGGAGAGATGGGGAGATATAAAGGCAACAATGACTTTGACAAGAGCCAGCTCACTGATGTCTTGGTGCCAGATACCAGAGCACACCTTCAGAGGTCTTGTACAGGTCTCCGTGAGGGCGAAGCTGTACTAACATGGTCAGACAAACTACAGATTGGGCCTATAAGGACTTTTAAACACCACATTCTATTTTCTAGAATTCAAATTAAATGATTTGATGAATAATAACTTAAATGGCACGTTACAGCACTTATAAACATATTTGATTGCATGTTTGAAAGCTGAACTAACTTTTACAGCTTCTAAACAAAGTCTGATTGCTGTGCCTCCAGTAGCCTACATGTCTGAATGTATTATTAGGTAATAAAAATGCAGCAGAGATTTAATCAGTGCTCTTGTTTCCTTGGTGGAGCAACAGTTTGAATGTGACTTGATCTGCCTGATCTATTTTTGTGCACAAAGGGGAAGACAACAAAAAAGAGAAGTGATGTAAAGTGTGCTATTGACCAAAAAAAAAAGTTAGCGACACACAAAAGAGAAATGTGATATTAGATTTTAAGCACCCAACTGTGTCAAGTGTGCAACAATGCACAACTCATGTTCTCTGCAGTATATCTCCTCTAATCGTGGGCAGATCTATCATATTTCTGTCTCAACCTACTTCCCGCCTTCATTTTCAGCCGAGGGGTCACAGGGTGATGGATGTCTCCTCCACGAGCTCCTGTCCTCCTTACCCTTGGGCTCACTCTTCACACCCTCCATCCTTTTTTCTTTTTGTCTCCCTGTCTTTGTCGCTGTTTCTCTCCTCCCTTTTTCCTCAGTAACTGGTAAAAATAGAGCTTCATAAATCATGCATCTTCTCTCACAGCAGTGTGTAAGAAGCAGAGGAAAAGAAATAAATGGGGGGGAATGGAAAAGAGAGAGGGGTGTTGAGGATGAGATGTAGGGACGGGGTGGATGACATCAAACTCTAGAAAATGGGAAGGAAGTTGACAGGGGAATAGATTGGAGCAGCAGGGCTCCTGGCTGCCCTCTTCATCTCTCTGAACATTGGTTGATTCACGCTGGAGTTGCACCAGATGGAGGAAATGAATGTTAACACGCCAGTGGAGTGGGCTGGCAGATGACGAGTGGTCATCTTGACGTGTTTTGAGTCCACAGAAAAGAGATGTCTCTCTCACACCTTGAGGACTCTCAGCTAGAGTCGACCTGTCTGAGGTCTGCACTCTCACTGGATGGGAGGTTAAGTGAGAGATAGGAGCCACAGCTGCAGCTCTTACTCTGCAGATCCATTATGTTGCTGTACAAAACAAAGAAGTATCACTGAAAGACTACTTAAGGTTTCCTCGTCACAGCTCAGCGCACACATGTTGAAGCCAGGCCAGGATCCAAAGAACCAGTTGTTTGGCACATTTTTACCCTACAAGTCACATGTACTTTGCATTTTTGCTTAGCCTTTGCCAAAAAACACCATTTTCAGTAAAGGTCAAACTAGATACAGTGGAGAGTGTATCTGGTCACTTCACATTCTTGTCAGTCGTGTTCAGCCAGTGTATGAGCAAGAACCGCAGCATTTTTAATAAAAGAAACAACCAAATTCTCGCTTAACATTATTAAATTTAGTAGGACTTTTTTTGGCAGAAAAATCGTTGCCATGTTGCAGGGTGTCTTTTATATTAATGTCAAGAAGGCATGTCTTCTAACTAATGGCTGGACAGAGGGCAGATGATAAAAAGAGAAGAGAGAGACCAGGATGAAGGAAAGACAAACTGCTGCAGACAGTGAGGAACTTGCTGGATCAAGATGTACAGTGAAAGATAACCTGCTGTGGCATGGGCTGTCACCACTCGGCTGTCTAAGCAAGAACTGGACTGGAACATGCCCCAACCACGCAGTGGGTGAAGGGACTGTGAAAGGTGAGTTTAGTTCACACCGGCATCCTGTCTTGGTGGTCAGTATCCAAAGGCACGGAGTATAGGGGCACCTGTGGCTCAGGAGGTACAGCGGCCATCCCCTAACTGGAAGGTTTAATTCCTATTCTCCCCAGTCAAAGTGTCCTTGGGCAAAACACTGACCCCCAAGTTGCCCGTGACGGCCAGGTTAGCGCCTTGTAGGGACAGATCCACTATGGGGGTATGTGAGTTGGCGCCTCGGTTCTGTACCAGAGACAGATTCCTTGTGTCTGTACATACTTGGCCAATAAAAGTAATTATTGTTATTATGTTGTGGCTGTGCTATTTTGTGTTGCAATAACAAGAAAAAAAAAGATGCTATAGCCACAAGGCTTAGTGTTACTTAATTCCCCAACAAATAATTTCTGCAGTACTACCTGTGAAATGACTCATAATTATAATTTATGCATAATCATTCAGTTAAAAAGATATATTTCAAAGCTGCATCACCATGGTGATTACACATAGAGTCATACAGATAGATCTCTAATGTGGGTTCAGCCCATGCCTCTGCATCTGTCTGAATGTGATCAGTATCCTACGAGCAACACAAGTACTGCCCCATTTTTCACAGGAACTACCTTATTTTTCGATGAACAAAACCTTGAACCATGACAACATTTTTAATAATGTTGTACATGACGCATATTTATTTGACTTCACCGCAAAACAGCATCTTAGTGTGTAAACTGGTGATCAGTGTTTTGTAGCAGAAAACACACCAACGTGTGGGTGCACAGGTAAAATCCTAAAAATCTATTTGAAAACAATCAGCTCTTTTAGAAACATTGTTTTGCATTTCACTAGTTAAAATGATCAGACATGTCTTAAAGGTAACTGTCAAACCCACCGGCGAGAAGAGGGTTTGTGCTGTTCCTGCTTCACGCTGTGGTTCCATGTAACACCTGAGTGACCAAAAATAAACTCCATGAAATGTTCTCTCTACAAATGCGAACTGTGGTCCTCTGATCCCCATGCTTATTCAGGCAAATGCATCAACTGCTAATTTAAGGTGAAGCGATCAGGAGTTGTCTAATGTTGGTTGATCTCCTGTGACTCTCAGTGAGGCAAAATTAGCTTTTAGGGAAACAATGCCTCTGTCCCTTCAACGACACCACTGAGAATGTCTCAGTGAGATTATATTTAAACATTCACACACATACACGCACACACGCACGACCTTGATACAGAGCTAAACAATACACTGCCATAGCAGCTTTAATCCCACGTCCTGGAACCAGACTCACAGCCATAAGTCTTAAATAAGCCTACAGTTGGACCAGGATCACACACACAGACTGCACACAAAGAGATACACAAAGCAATCTCCCCTAAGTTAGCCATGGATGCAGCCACACCCTCAGAGTAAGTGAGGTCAAATTGTGTTTTAATAAATGATGGGTTCTGGGCGGAAACATGGTCACTGTGGGGATTTGGGTGTGAGAGTGAAAAGTTCATCTGATATAGCTACAGGAGCAAAAGCACATCCAGCTCTCTAAGTCTGACTGAAAAAGGCCTTTATATTTCATGAGCTCTTCCCCCTGACTTCACATGTGGGCTGCGAATAAGCTTGACGGTTTTATTGAAACCACACATAATGGGTCACCGCTGCTGAGGAGTGAGAGACGGGTTTTAGTGAGACGTGCTGGGAGCATCTGTCTGGCAGCATGAAAACATACATGCATCGCTGGTTTGTTGTGAAATGTTGTTATTGCTGTAGGTTAGTTGTAGCTGTGTTTGATTGTGTATTTGTGATTTTGTATTACAAGGTGATAGTTTCTTTGTTGCAGTGAAGAAATGTTGCCTGGATCACTTCGGTGAAATACAAATGTACCCTACCTCAGTAAGAGAATCTCGTCCTATTTCAAATACTGGTTGCAAGAATGCAACACTTCTTTCATTTCTTTTTCTTTGTGTTTTCCTGATGGACAGTTTCTGACCATGACACTGGCACTGCACCATAAAATTCAGCCACCTCATTCATTTCTGTGAGATTGTGCTAGCTCGGCAATGGTGCTGAGATGGTGCTCACCCAGGACACAGGGTCATTTGGCACAAAAGTCGAATGTGGCTGTAATGCAGGATCTCCTGGCAAAGGACTGGTTTGATCAATCAAATATGTTCAGCCGCAGTTAAATTTGAGATATGAGTGGCAAATAAATATTGGGAAAGTAGTAATTGTAAAGAGTGTGGTGGAGTGATGCAGCAGTTTAATGGGTGACTGACTGTGCAAATGTGCACCCAATCTGCAGAAGCCAACAGGAGCGCAGCCATAGTTTGAGGTATAGCTCTGAGGTGACTTTGGCGTTGCGGCCACATGTATCATACACAACTATGTGACACACCCACTGCAACCCCTCCCCTCACATCAGTGCAGCCTCTTGGACCGAGGTTGTGTTTTAATGTACTCAGTCTGAACGCCCACAAAGTGTTGCATTTACAGTTACTCAGTTCACTTAAACTTTGTGGCTTTTTCATTTTTAACAGGTTACACTATCTTAGAAAGACAACATGTTAAATGACCATAGAATGATATAATTATCTTCATGCCATTCATGTGTGCAAGCAGTCAGTTGACTCAGCTGGAGAGCCACTGTAATGCTTATCATCTATAGGCCCACAAACACATGAAAGGTGCTACACAAACAAATTTTGATTGATTGAAAATGACTGCTTCCCTGATTGAGAGTCAGAAAATCCTGTCTCATAGTATCATAGTCCTCGAGGAACACACCTACACCACTGTAGCTCCCTGCATTTCTAAGCACTATTTTCTGTCTGACAGCCATTTACTGTGTGTGTGGGTTTGTGTTTGTGTACTGCACTCACCAGAGCACTGAGGCGGCTGCGGGCATTCACAGCATGCTTCAGAGCCAGTTTGATCATAGAAGGCAGTCTGAGAATAACAGCCTCCATGTCCTGCTCTCCCCTCATGGCACTGGCCAGCTTTCCCAGTCCGTCTACATAGCTTCTCCAGTGAGGCTGCACCTCTGCTGCTCCCCCCAGGCAGCCATGCATCACTGTCTGACAGAAGCCTCTACAGGCTGGTGGCCCTAGCATGCCCTGGCAGTGTGGGCAGTACCACAGCCTCAGCAGGGCCCGGCTACAGTCCCGACTTGGCCGCAGGTGGTCTGTTGTATTGACAACCTCAATGCCCAGGTTCAGCGCCTGCAGGAAGACTCGTGTAGCCAGAAGAGAGCGAGACAGACGGGTCATCATCAGTTTGGGATAAGAGCCAAATGCTCCTGAGTCCTTCCAGGCTCCTTTAACACACTCCTCAGACACAGAGGACACACTGCCCCCCAGCAGACGGCGGTATGTGAGGGGGAAGAGGCGACCATAGAGCACTGCCACCATATGGTCCACTGTGGAGTCTGAGCCCAGGATGTAGAATGACATGTCCAGGAAGAGCTGCCCCACTGAGCTCTGAGCCCCACCTCCAAGACCTGGGAACTCTGACTTCAGCATGGCCAGGGTGGAGTTACGGGCATGACGCAGCACCAGGTCAAAGGCCTCTGCAAGAAAGCAACAAAGCAACAGATGAAGAGTGAGAAGAGGTGAAAGCAAGGTTGATTTTCTGAAAGTTGTAGCAGAAGATGATGATTCGCCCCAGTTATCACAACAACTGTGCCAATTTAGATCCAGAACCTGAAACACTTAAAAAGATGCAGCTCCCCCAGAACACCCATCCCATCCTTAGCAAGCCTGAGAAAAGTTCCCACACACATCCTCTCCACCTCTACCCATACTTTCTCAATCTGTTGCTGTCTCTAGTCACACATGCATAGGAGGAATACACACTTTTACACAAATCCTCAATAATACATGATGACTTGAACTATAAAGAGATCAAAACATCTGCAACAGAATTTCAGGTTTGATCTGTCAGTGCTATAAAAGAGCAGACTAAAAAGAGTATTTTTCTTAATATACTAGTCAGCTGAGAGAGGCATGACCACGGGAATGGCTTCAAGGAAAAAGCGCCCAGTGCATATGGAAGGAGGGAGGGAAGGGCACGTGGCCAACGTGAGGAGGGAAAATAATCAGCAGTGTTTTAAGGCCCAAAGGGAAGACTTATCAACAAGGTGGCACAAGAAGCCAGGGCTCTGTCATCGACCCAGAAGCAAAATGAGTGGGGACCCAACAACAGAGGGGATTTAGCTACAGTGCAGCTCGGTTACTGAACTGAGCAGGGGAGCTGAGAGTCAGTGAAATGAGGGCTGCTGAAATCCCATTTATACTGTGGCTAGTCCACTACATCACTTTGTTGAGAGTGATAGCTACAGCTGCTTTGTTTGGGTGGGGGCATTGGGGCAGCACTGGTTAAAGGACATTAGAGGAAGTTATTGGTTTTTGTGCTACAACAGTTCACTATTTGTTCTTTGTTATTTGATTTTTCTTGCTTGGATAGTTTAATTTTTTTCTCTTCATGCTCCTCTGAGGTCAAATGACACTCGCCAGCCCAGGCACATCCCTGTCTCTTTGGATGGCACTGTGAAGTGATGCGACAGCTCTGCCTCTTTTGTGTCTGACATATAATGTGTTTTTCAGTGCGCAATTTCAGGCCACATAGGAGGTCTGTATGAGAATATGATCATCTCTGTTGAAAGGAAATGAACATCTCTGTCTTGCTGTTACAGCTACTGCTGCTGCACATTTCAACTATGTAACCTCAGAAAAAAGAATTGGTACAGTTGTCCTTTTATTACTTAAAGAAGGAATTCATAAAACAGAAGCCTCCTTTACTAACTAAACTTTGGTCAGTTCAGAGTACTCCTGGGTTTTGCTGCTGCAGCCCCTCCTGCTCTGGTATGAACAGTAGTTTAAGGTGCCTAATATAAACAAACCTTACATAGATATGTAAGGTCATATGTCCAGATGATCCTCAGCAAGTGTAACTCACTCTAAATGATATTGATATGTTTCTTGTGTGTTAAAAATGAAGTCCAAGAAAGACTGAGATCCTTTTAGTCAAAAACATCTCACGCAGGGTTTCTGTCTCTCCCACATCCCCCGATGAAGACTTTTGGCTTGGTTCTGCTGAATGTCTATTACAGATCACATCCTATAATCTTTTTTGATGGTAAAAAATGTTATCTGGAAAAATGATTTAAATTACAGAGGAGCAGAGTGAATATTTTATTCTCCGTCTCCCCCTGTAATGTGAATCCTGTCTAAAGTATTCAGACCCAACATGCAGCAAATTTCAGAGATATTACAGTGTATCAGTAGATGTGGACTTGGATTGTGGCACATTCACTCTGGGTGATATGATTTGAGTTAAAATGTTTCAACCTGAGTGAAGATTTTGTGATTATTTGGAGGGTTTATGGTTCTAGGTCATGAATTCACAGATTTGGGATGAAAAGAAGAGTAAAATAACCAAGCATCTGGTAAACTCTGAAATCTACCACACAAACACAACACAAGCGCTGTACACACTGCACCCACACTGTTGGTGTTGCTTTTTTGCTTTTGGGGTGAATATGAAACATGGCGGAAAACAGCATGTATGCTCAGTGAAACAGCTGCTGGGTGAATAAAGGTTAAGAAAAACATTTGGGGATGTTTGGGTGAGTGTGAGAGGATGCTCGGGAGCGGCACACATCTGTTTAGATTTTCAGGCGGCGGCTGTCCTGCTGCGTTTCTGAAGAACTTCCCTCTGTGATCAATGAGCAGGCAGAGGTGCAGATTGCCAATCCAGACAAGGAGACAGACTGGGAGGAGGGATGACATGCCCCCCCACACACAGAAAGACAAAGTCTTCTGTTCCTGGTGATAAACAAGTAGAAGCCACTTCTGTTCAGTTCCTTATCAAAAAGTGAGCGCGCTGAGAAAATGCACATCCCTGTCAAAGTATTTGTTTGTCCTTTTCTTGGTTTCTATGAAAACATCTTTCATCAAACTTGTAATTCAGCCACTACCTGTAGTATCTCTTACACCACAAAGAAGAGAGCCACTTTGTAATGGTAAAGAGAAAGACTAGAGAGCTCTTCATATCGTAAATGCAATTCAATGGCTGTAAGTACCAGGGGTCATGATAAGAACCACTGCAAACCCATTTCCTGTGCGTGCTGCTCCCTCTCTTTCATCAGTAAAAGCCTGTGCGGGATCAGGTATCCTCTAATGGAGGGGAGAGGGGCTGTGTGTCAGGGCCCTGTGACATTCTGGATACGCCTATAGGAGGTCAAGAGTGCACATTACCAGAGCAGGAGCTCACAGAAGCATATTGGGTCACATTTAAAATTAGCAGTAGCATTTATTTTGTCGTTGTCACGGATGGAGGCAGAGGGCTGGATGCGGGAAAAGTGTTTGTCCTCTGAGACTGAAGGCTTTTTACAGACTGATCAGCAGAACAAGGCAAAGGGGAATGTTTCTGCCTCTCCATCTTTTTCACCAGACAGATAATGTTTACACCAAGAATACGGGGCCTCTCAGCTTCCTTTGGGTATTAAAATATGGAAATCAGATCCACTAAATAAAGTCTCATTTTCAACAGGTTCTCTGTCACATCATCAGTCAGGATACCATAAATCTGCAGTGTTACGCTGTGAATGCTTTATCATAATATCATCTTTCTCTGCATGTCATGTCATGAATCAGAGGCACCAATTAAATAGTAATCAAGAGCTGCAGATTTCAGGTTATCTAAAGTGTAAAAGAAATCTAATAAATTTGTATCATGAAGAGGTTACTTAATTCTGACATTTAAAGCCCTGAGTGACTCCAGCTCTGACATAAAACGGGCTTTTCACATAATCTGTGAATGGCCTGTCAAATGAACATAGTTGATGTTCATGAGGCCGTCAGTGTGAGATAGTTGATGTTCATGAGGCCGTCAGTGAGAATGTTTCGTAAGTCAGCTCTGTGGCTCATAACACACTGGACTGACTGACTGACCGACCGCTCGCTGTGGTCGACATGCTGCAAAGGCACACATGCTCCTCATTAATCAGCAGCCCATACACCCGTTATCCCCAAGAGAGGAAAACATCAATAAATTAGCCAGCCAATGAGACCAATCTATTTGGCTGATGGAGTGTCACCTCTAGCCGCCATGGAGACGGATGGAGGAGCCGCTGCCACCTGGTACCAGTGACAAAACAGTACCTGTCCAGGAAGCAGAGGGAGGACTGGCAGGACAGCCACAGGCATGTGAGCACACTGTGTGTCAGGTGGGAACCTTGTAACTTCACCGTGATGTAGCGAAAAAAACAAAGGTGGTTAAAAATATCTTATCATGAGTAAATGCCTGCAACTCGAGAAAACTGTCTTGTTTTTCATGAACGCAGGATGCAGACATGTGCACACGCCTCCCAGAATCCTTTGCATTCATTTCAGATTTTTAAGCCCCTATACAACATATTGTTTTTGATGTAGCATATATTCTCATTATTATATTCTTATTATATTTTTATTATTTCTTTTCACTTGCTGTTTTTTAAAGTGCTGGATATTGTACTGTTTATCTACTATATTAGACTTTATATTGTTTGGCATTAATTGTGAACAGCAAAGAGTTTCACTGTGCAGGGAAACATGTTTCCTTACTGCACATATGACAGTAAACACTTTGACTTGACGACGACAAAAGCAGCATCTATTTATTGACTGTAAATAGAATTTTGTTTTTGCAGGCACATCTCACTCAGCTCCAACAGAGCGATCTTCCCCAGGTAACCTGAGATCTCCTCCACCTGACAACCTGCTCTTGTGAGACCAGTGTGTGTATGAGTCCTGGGTGCATGGGGCTTATAGGACAGTGGAGAGGATGGTGGCGGCAAGGCAGCGCAGGGTGGGGTGGGCTGATTCCAGGAACAAAGCAGACAGAATGCTGGTAAGGCCTAGACGACCATGAGGGCCAGTGGACAGCGGGGCAGAAATGAGACATGGTATTGGGTTACTCCATCTGTCAGAGAGTGCCTTGTCACACAAACACAAACATGCACACAAAAGTACACAGTGCAATCACACAGCGCCCAGCAGTAGGCAGGTGGTGGCAGTGTGGGTGAACATTTGGCAAACCATAGTGGGAGGGCAAGGTGTGAGTCAGGTGTAAGGACTACAGCCACACATACACACACACACACACACACACACACACACAACAGCAGATTTCCCTTCACATTCATTTATCTGTCGCCCCAGGAGCTTCTGGAAAATGTTTCACCACAGCTAGACAAAATAAGAAACAATGAAAATTCATCCTTAGTATCTGCTGTCTGCTCCCCATAAAAAAATAAAGTGAAGATGTGTTTTCTAAATTTAGTACAGTCCACTCTGATGAGATTATAAAATATCAACACTTCAGTTTAATTAAAAACACTACTATAATGTTCTAATAATGTATAAACCTCCTCTAAACATATTTGGGTCTTATTTTTGTAGTTTGTGTCATTGTTTCTATCTATGATGATGTCAATGAACTCACCGGGTTCATCATTGTGGACTGGGGATCTGGCAACATCGCTACAAGTTGCAGTCAGCAGACAGTTTTTAAAAGGATGACAGTGTG